CCGACAAACCTGGTTTTTTTACGCAAATCGTTACCTACACTTTCGGCTCGTAGTTTAGATCAAACGTGCCAAATGCAGAGGCCTAACAGCTGCCAGGCCTTAAAAACATGTCTGTTGATGTTATGACGACCGGACGGCAATCAAGGAGGTGTCAACACGTGGACAGGACTGACGTGCCACTTTTGTCGGTCTGCCGGAACTGAAATAGCTTGAATAACGTCAGCAGAACCAGACGACCTTCGTGGTGGAATTTACTCTTGTCATCAACACACGTTGTTGAACAACCAGTAGATATTTGTGGCCGGTAACTGCGAGTAAACAGCTGTGCGCATGACGCTAAAAAGACCGGTTTGTCTGCCTTAGGCGTTTTGAGGGCAGAAATTGGTATTTAAAAATTAGGTGTCGTAAACAAGACTGTCTAGATAACAAGCAAGGCCATGTGTGTTAAACTGTTAGTTTTATTAAATGCGTATTTTATGGGGGTAGAACTGCTTTTAAACGCATTCATCTATCACACATTATTAACAGCAAAATTAAATAACCTCTTCAGCAGTTTCGACGAAGAAAATTCACTGCGCCTATAAGGTACTGTTTCGAAACTGCAAGGTGTAACCTAGAAGTCGAGATTCAATTTGGAAGGAGGTTAAGCCGTAGTGTCAGGTTAAAAAGGAGTTATGGATGGAATTACCTCCTAAACTAGTCATCAAATAAATTCACCGAGGTTTCATTCATTGACAAGAAGAAGCTCAACTTGGGCTCTTCTCATCTGTAGAATAAATTATCTGTGACTCCAGACAATTAGCATGCATTACACGCACTTTTTTGGAGTTGACTCGGCACATACTAGTTTACTGCTTGATGAAATCCGGCGCAAACCGCGTGACGCTGTTTTGTCTGTGCGTCTCAACAACCGCAGACTTTTGAATCCGAAAACCCGACAGGTAGCTCAAGGGGTTTTCGCTTGGGCTTACGGATTGAGGGGAACAAGAACCTACTATTTTAATACCAGTCCTGTTTATACAACTAACTGGGTGTTCAAGCACGCGAGTTCACATAACAAGATGCTGTGCACGAGACGCCGCCTGTCATGAGCTAAAGTGCTGATCCTGATTAGTCAAAAGAGGCTAAATCCAGGATTGGCAACTATCAGCCACCAAACACTACCAACATGGATAAACATATCGCCATCGGTGTAATCGGTTAACGTGAGTCATCAGGAAACAAAAATATTTTGGCGATGGCAAGGTACTAGATGAACACGATCGCAGTATGAGGCAAAGCGTGTGAGAGTATCCTACATTTTGGAATAACAACACAAAGTCAGCGGTCAAAATGATAGCTCAAATATAGACGCAAGTTGTCACACATCACACTACCCCCCTGCGGCAGACTCCATTGTTAATGACGTGACCACTTGCTGTTTTACCCGCGTCGGTGCATTCGTGAATTAAACCCTGGTGCGGCAAGTGTTACTAGAGCCAGCTTGAGATTGGGATTATTTATTGAATGAAAAAAAAACTACACTTTAGGGGCGCTGTGTGGGACATTGTGAGGAAAAGGGAGATGACGGGGCCGAAAACAGTGCGGTCCCCTGAGTGAAGGCAACATACATGCGAAACGAGGTCACAATCACAGTGCTAATAATGGTTTGTAAGTAGCAAACATAAAACTGTGAAATCTCAGAGTGCCTCTACTTATTAGACAATGATTTCTTGTTCTGCTTCTCCTTAAAATCGGAGATTGCCGCGCGAATCGCATCTTCTGCGAGCACTAAAACAGAGAAAATGCAGTGGAAATCACACATCTACATGCATTTATCAGTGCACTGTGCAGAATGACAGGCGAATACAACAGTGTTTTAGACAATTAAACCAATTGCCAAATGCGTTTTCATCTAGGTGAGTGTCAACGACATTTAAATCGGAAACATCACTCAAACACGATACATCCCAGCTAGTAGTACCTGCAAAATTTGGCATGCAAGTTTTGATTTCTCCATTGTTCTAATTCTGATTCCTTCTGAGCGCCACTTACAACATGACCAATGAATGTGTGGAGTCAAGTCGTGTGTCCATTTATATATCGCAAACGTTAACTATTTAAAATATACTGTTTACTTTCTAATGTCGTAATAAGTGTTGTTTAGAATAACACGCAAGCGTTGTCGATCTTCCATTATCTACGACTTGGCAGTGCGATTCCCAGCTTCAACATCAAGGTCGTTGTAAATGTCAGAGATGGTCAGTCGGAGACCTCTATTATGTGTGAAATTTAAGCAGTTGGAAAAGTTGCTCAACGACAGTAAAACCAGTCTTTTTCTACCATTGTAGACATATTTGCTAACATCTCTCCCACTCTTGTATTGTTTCCTTATAGGTCCGAACACAATTAAGGAAATGCGCATGTTCCCGCTATCGACGACAAATGTCGGAACGAGTTCGTTCAATACAAGTCAAGGTCAAGAATGAATTGAGAGAACTGACCAATCCGGTTGGCTGAATTTAGACGACTTTATTATTGCCTATAAAGTGATGGGTTAGCAAGAAAATCGAACCGGGTTTTCAAAGGTAATGGGGGGGCGGTCGCACAAGGTTTGAAAAAGCTTTGCAAATGTTTCGATTTTTCCATAACTAAATAGCGATTCTATCATCTCACTTTAGAGACTGGTATTTTGTCAACAGTTGTTGACACAGAATCCCTTTAGCATGGAATGCTTAATCAAACATTTTCGTCACATTCGAAATTGATGTTTCCCTAGAAGAAAGCTGCTAAGGCATACTAATAGATGCGTGAAGATTATGCCGCTATTGCACAACAAGACACCCGTCAAAATGGGTCGAAAATTTCTTTTTTTTCTCTGGTCGACCCAGCGAAGTTGATGATGAACAAGCCAATGGCATAATTTATTAGTAGACTCAACATACAGATGCGACAGAGATTGTATAAGGCTTAACTGTATAAAAATGCAACATTTGAAACCGACTTAGCAAAACAAATTAACACTCGTGATATATACTTGAAATGCGATAAAATAACAACCACTTGAACGGACAGAAATCAAAGAAAATTGACAGAAATGGCAGATTGCAAAGGAGTCCTCATATTTAAATCTCTGGAAACTCGTAGAAAACCTTCGAAACTTGGTTGGAAAGGGATATCACCCTAATTTTGCACCAACAGATTACCGATTGTTCCGACATTTGCAAAACAATTTAGGCGATGTGACCTAAAAATCGTGCATATTTCTGATTTTCGGTGATAAGGACTAGAAGTGATATGAGCGCAGAACCTTCAAACTTGGCATTAGAACGGCAAAATGACACTAAGCAAAGCGGAATTCGCTTTGTCTTAAAGAGTAATTAAGTTGTAGCGTATTGAATATCCAGTACATGTGAAAAAACGGCCAACGCCCAGATTCTTTTAATTGCTCTAAATAAAATAAGTGCATGCTTTTGGAAGAGATGGTCCGAAAATGGCGTAAATATTTGTGAGCAGACGGCAATTTACTACACAATGAGAGTCACGGGTAAGCCTGGCTTAACCATTCAGGCTGTTCAGAGACTAAAATTGAACACATTTCAGGATGCCAGCCAAAGCCCTGTAGTTTAGATGGGAACTCATTTGCTGAAGTTGGAAATTACCCAGTCTCTAGTTCAGTTTTAGATGGGGTTGTTTGCGAACGAATCATGCAAAAGCAAGCCTGCATTCCAAGAAAAACATTGGATTGTGGGAGGGAACAGAAAGAGTAAAGTGCTTGATGATAATATAAGGCCACTTCGAATTGACTTAAGGCACCTGTACAGATCTGCTCAATTGTCAACGGTCAGTTGTGACATAGCAGTCTCCTCTTGTTCCATTAGTTGTTTATGTGTGTCAACATAGAACGCAAAATAAGCCAGTACAATCTAGCCCGGATAAAACTTGTTTTCGCCTGTACAATCCAGGCACTTTGTACCCATTCTGGTCCTTGTGAAGAATTATCTCGCACATTTTCTCCGCGTTTTATGTTCTAAAAGGGTCACGCCCTAAAGGTGAGACGCGTTTCGAGCACAAGGGAGTCACGAGGCCGTTTTGGAGACAGACTACGATTAGCACGAAAGAAGCGTATCTTTACACATCCTTTAGTCATGTCCTGTGAACCATTGTTTCTTAGGTTCTGTCACAGTGGCTAGAACAACTCCGTACAAGTAAACATCATGCAATAACTTTTCTACACCATGGCAAAAGCGTGACGCCGCTGTCGTACTTCAGCCACAGAGGGTCGTTTAGCGTTAAAACTAACGACCGGCTTCTACTAACCGCCAATTTGTTACATTTATAGTCTTGATAAATAATCATAAGTGAAGCAACCAGTTTTTGCTAGAAAATTCCATTATCTGTGTTAATTGACCGAAGGTAGCACGCTTTTATTTACAACAGGAGAGGAGTAAACAATGAGCTGGAGTTAAACATCACGGTAGTAATGGAAGGACGCGCATGGCTTTAGGCACGTGCTTTTGACAGAAATGAAGGTGACCTAGTTTAAGACAACACAGCGCGAACACGTGAGGCACTGCAAATAAAGCACATCCCTTTGAATTTCAGATTTCATCACATGAACCACCAAAATTTAATGACAACTGCATAGCCCGGGAGGTTCCTCGTGACTGCAAATCATCAAAGATATGCGCATTTTTAGACTGGTTGAGTGTTAATCGACGATAGCATTTGATGACAAATTCGACGAAATTACAGAGAAGATACGGGTCGTAAATTTGCACAGACAAAATCACTAATACACTTAGCGACTGAAAGCGCATGAAATTTAACAAGGCTCAAAACGCACTGTTACTATTTACGGACTTAATTTGTTAGGTACCACGAAAATCCAGCAATTAGCAGTCTCAAATTGATATAGGCAAAACCAGAGAGCATATTTTGTGGAAGAGAAACAAATATCGGTCCGATGAAGTATCTTGAAACAAAACACTGAAAGATTTGTTTTTGAACATTTCTTAGAATTATAAAAGCGACTTACTAGAACAATGCAGTTTTATGGGAGGCAGTCTAAGTTCCTTTGCAATGTCGGTATTCTTTATTGTGGCAGCTTCATCAACGGTCTTTCCCTTTACCCACTCAGTTGCCAAGGAGCTTGAAGCGATGGCCGAGCCACAGCCGAAGGTCTTAAATTTAGCATCCACAATGCGACCATCATCATCCACCTAATAGTATAAATTAGAAATCAAACTAAAATAATCAATGTGCTCAGCCAAGTAGATAAATAGAAGTGCTTAGAAGTGTTCCTAATGTCGTGGTTCCAGTTAAGCCAGTCTATACAAATAAAAAACCGTGCAACATTTCAAAATCACCACATTATTTGTGGAAAATGTAGTAGAGCAAAGCCAATTATCACATTATGAGATATTGCTAAGGCTTCTGGTAGCCTTGGCAGTAACAGACACAGTGGGCATTCGATGACATGGATATTGATATTAAAGGTAGAAGCATTAAAAAAAGGAAACATAATTTAACTACACAACCAAGCCTAAGGATGCTAGCACACAGTAATGAAAGATTATTCGCATTCTAGGGACTGAAATTTGCGTATCAAAAAAAAGATTAAGGACGGTGGCGGTGTTTCAGTTGAAAGCAAATTTAACAACAAACAAAGGAGTGGCAGTGCGACATCCTCTTCTTTGCTGCTTATTTTGGTTGCGTGCTAATCCAAATTAAAACGATAAAGGAAGCTTACTTTAATTTGAAGTTTCATGACATCACCACACGCTGGAGCACCGACAAGCCCTGTTCCCACCTTTTCATCATTTTTATCCAAGGCCCCAACATTTCTAGGGTTTTCATAGTGATCCAAGACTTTTTCGTGGTAATAACAGACTGGTGTTACCCTACAAGGGGTAAAAAACGAACGAGCAGCAACGGTAGATATCCGAGCAAACATTTTACTTGAAGTGGGCTCTCGACCAATAAGGTGCTGGTCATTAGGACATTTAAAGGTCAAGGTTGTTAAATTCAGATATAATAGAAGAAACGTCAGGAAATCGATTAAATTTTACTGGGCTAAAACCTACATTTACTACTGTTGAGAGTGCCATTAACAGATTGCTTACAAAAATAAAATAAAAAGTGCATGGATAGAACTTGTTTCTTAAGCCTAATTGATTAAGACAAAATAAACATGGTGTCATACCAAAGTTAATTGTTAAAAAGTATTTATTAAATTCGTAAAATGAAAGAGCCTAGCTTAGTTCTAAAAAACTATGAAAGATTTCGAATATATGAGCACTACCCATTCACAACTCATCTTCTGAAATAAATGAAAGTCTCCATTGAAAACTAAAATTGTTTTTCATTAATTGATTTTGCACGATTTTCATTTATTAAATAAATGTCTAATGTGTTATTAATTGTCACTTAGAAGTTGCTTGAAGTGGAATAGTCCACTAAATTTTCCGAAAGAAGCTTAACAGCATCAAAAGTACCTCACTAATAGGTCAGAGATGCAAAAACTTCTAGTCATTTTCGCGTTCACATTTTTACCAATCCCTAACATTAAGATGTCAAAATTAAGTATATAAAATTGATAGCTACGACAAAACGAACTTGACCTTAGTCTTATTGATGGAAATAACGACTTACCCGACTGTATTTTTTACACTCCATATTTTGAAGTGATTTAAAAGGTTTATTCCTTGAGAAATGACTTACGAATTTTGAAGTACTTTGTTCGATTTACTTTAAAGACTTCATTAGCACCTGATGATTGGTGGTCATTCAAATAGATTTCTACCTAAAATCGTTCATCCATGTGTCAAATATAAACATGAAACTTGTAGTCTTTCCAGCATCCAAACAAAAGTTGTATTGTAACCGATGCAGGGTATTTGCACGATTCAGAAAAAGTATATCAGAATGGATTAAACAAAAGCATAAGTTATTTTAAGTTATCATGCATATAATCATAACCTCTTTATCAGAAGAAAGCCTCTTTGCCGTTCAGATCTGGAAATATTAAAACTGCAGTGCCCCCCTCCACAAACCCCAAATAGTTTGAAGTTTATGCGCTGAATTAATACGAAAATAATTGCTTTTGTCGTGCTTAATTCTCATCTATAGGTTTATTGTGAATCGTGTTTTTCAACCCCTTAATCCGGTCACTACTCACCCGACACAGGGTTCCCCCTTTTGCAGCATGTCGCCAGCCTCGCGGAGCCTTAACTCCCCCCTCATTCACACGCATATTTATCTTGAACTATCCTCACACCTAGGTCTAGATGTTAAGTCACACATCCCAGGCATAAATACTCACGCACAAACCCCACACACGACACAACGACGCCAACGTGGCTGAGCTCTGGAGTAAACGGTTGTGTCCACGCCCTCTCTGGTCTTTTTCTTCATCACGGGCCAGGGTTAATTCCGTGGCCCCGGCGTGGTTCAAGACCACATGCTGAGGACCACAGCAGGTTAAATATGCGCAGAACCAACCTTAGCGGGCCATTAAAATGGCTAGTTTTTAAAAATCGCCCACTCACATTTTAACGTACGTGGAATTTACTTACATCACATATGCATTTTACTGTCTATGACGTAATTACTCTGAATATGCATACTCTCTTACCGAGTCTGCACTCCAGGCATTGTCTACAACTTAACCAAATCTTCGCCCCATTTTCGTGCAAAATTATCTATCGAAAAACCAACATAGTGCAATTTTGAATAGCGCATAAATAACGCAAGTCTTCTGTCAAACTCCGATTTTCTTCAATTTTCTTGAGTAACATAGTAGTTTAAGTTTGTGCATTTGGTGACGAGCATGTCTTTTGTGTGTTAAAAGTTGGTTTGCGAGTCAGTTACGTGGAGTCGTAGTAAACAAAAGAATTTGGTGACTTTCTCGGACGATGATCATCTCAAAACTAAGTCAACAAATACTTATAAAAATACCCTGTTTAGAGAAAAATAATAGAATAGAATAGAATTCAAAGTTCAAAATCCTGGAAATACCTCAGGCACTGACGTTTGGAAAGTTCACTAAGGCGATTTAATGAAGTAGTTAAATAATCAGTTTTGACGTCTTCGTGACAGCACATTTGGAATGATGCAATGTTATGAAAGTTCAAGTGCCACCACTGTGCTGCTTGCCACAGCTTTCAAAGCCGAGGATCTTGATGATTGACAGTTTTTTTACAGCTTTATCCTAATTCACTGCATGCGATCAGCATAAAAGCGCGAGATTTCTTCAGCGCTGAGCATCGCGAATTCCACAAGGAGGCGAAATTGTTTAACGTAGACCTGGGGTTTGCAACACTGCGAATACTACTTTTATAAATTTGTTTATAAGCAGATGTGAATTCAATTTCTACCCTTATGCAATGCTAGTATGTGTTCCATGGCATGAAAATCCTTCAGGTTACTCAATTACAGCCGTTTTTCAGGTAAAGATAACTGAGCCTTTTCCAGAAAGAAATTAAGGATCACCCAAAAAATAGCTTTAACTTTCAACTTTTTTTGCGATAACAAGCACGTCTCAAGTTGTAAGTGTGCGGTAAGGAAAAACAACTTTTATTCTGGAAATAATGGAAATAAAGCTAATGAGTTTGCTTTGTGGGCTCAGTAGTTAAACAGGAGGGCAAATATGTATATGTTCATTGATACGAGTTTTTTCTAAATTTTTATCGCATGTAGCATGTTTCCAAGTCAAAAATAGTGGCCAAGACAAACTAGGTAATCAAAAGTTAGCTATAATGGTTTTTGAGCTACAACACTCTGCTTGGTACATTTACCAATCAAAGTACATTTCATTAGTTTAATGCACACCAGAGCCAAGTTCTTTTTTAGCGTATCCGTTGTAGCTTAAATTTCGCCCTAAGTTTTAACTACTCAAGTTCCACAAGTGTAGCACAATATTCAGAAATCGCATGTAAGCAATTTTTTTAATGTTCACTCAAAACACCATGCTTGACGTGGCGACACTATTCTATAGTGTGCAGTCGACCCTGGATCTGTTGTAACAATTCCATTTCTATTTTATTATTATTACCGCAATAATTTTGACACCAAAGCACAAAAACTTTAACTTCCTAAGTAACTGTTCTCGCTTAAATTCAATTGTGTCATCCTTGAAATAATTAGCCAAGAATGGTTCCACTGGCTCCATTGAATCTCATCTATTTGCATTACATTGGCAATTATTGCCTGGAATTAAAAGACACCAATCTGGTCATTCTCGAGCTACGATGGGTTTTCAAGGTTAGACATTAGCCAGGGTGTGGTAGAAAGCCCCTACCTCTGCCAAGAGACTCGCTGCTCCCTTTACGTCTCAACTGCAATAACAAAGTGCGTCCCTGGGTTTTATAATCCCATTTCCAATCAAAATGTTTGCAACCAAATCTCCTCTATTTCACGTAAATTCAAACGGCGGACTACAGACACAAAGCGCCAGACAGTAAGTTCCACGTGTGAGTCAAAGGGTGGCCAACTACCAGAGGTAATTTTCGACCCTGCAGCTGTTCTTCCAACCGTGTCTAACAACTCCCACATACAACAAATTCCACCACTCCACTACTACAACTACTACTGAATGATGGTAGTGAGAGAGAATGCACCATGCATACTCTCTTAAATACGTTGCGGACGGCTGCTGAGAGCAGGATAATCAATTTCAGGCAAATGCTTCTGTTGTTTGGCTGAATGATCGTACACATGCTAACTTTTTGTGCTTCCATCAAAGATAATTGTGCATTAGGATACGAATCCTACTTGTTCTTCAATCATAGTTGACACACTAATTGCAAAATTTTGCTTCGAGGAGAGCAGAGGTAATTCATGGCAACGCCCATCATGAATCGGTTGCAGAATATTGACGACAATTCCCCTAATATGCTTGTTTGACACACCCGCATTTAACTTACACTGTAAAGCTAGCAACGGGATGGTACAAATATGCAAACTCAAACCTTCTGGTCTGTTTTTTTGAACATGCTCACCTTTTTTTAGTGATCACTCCTATTTTCTGCCTATGCTTCAGGAAAATTATGTGGAAAACCCGTTATAAAGAGCACTTTCACTGCTTAAATAGGTTACAAATATCACCTTTACCAAAAGGCCTCCATTTGCTTCATTGAATTGTCATCGCAGCAAATTGATCAAGCAGAAACAAGTTGATACAAGTCAATGCAAAAATGAATTTAGAAACCATTCGCTCACAAACCCGAGGCCTATTTTACCCAGAGACGACAATTTTTAAGTTGTCACAATTTTCGCATCGAAGGCTTGTAATTTGCTAAGATTTTTAAAACTCAAAGATTAGGTAACTCCCTACTTACTTATTTTATAGCTACCTCGCCAATGAAGGCGGCTACGACGCCACATTAGCAACACCCATGTTCATTACACTGAGTGCATTGCAACACGTGGTATCATTGACCATGTACTGTTCATTTGGGCTGTTTAGAGAGCACTTTAGCGGCGCCAGCTTTGCAAATCTCTGGCAGGCAAGTGAAAGCCCAAATCACGCCCTGCTCCCACAAGCCTTTTTGAGTAGCCAATGATGCATTGTGAGGATACGTTTTGGCGTATTGACAGGGCCGTGATTGCGGAACCGAAATGTTTATTGGTACGAAAAAGATGTTGGCTTAAGTACATGTCAATATGTGAACATGGCTTTGAGTTGACATTTTCTTAAATTTGATGCAATGTAGACAAATGAAGGTTCTGTCTGACCCAGGAGTGCTTTAAAAATTGAGTTCAGATCATCAGCTATCTTAAGTAAGCGCAGTACCTAAACACCACAGTAACACAATACAATTCTGTTTCCTATCAAGATGCATGCGAATTGGTTGTTGTTTGAATGTTTTTAGTCCAGTGCGATCGATTGAATCAAGGTTGCATAAAAAAATGTGATAAGCGGAAGCAACCACTTTCGGACCACTGGAGTTTATTGCAGTGAGTTGCTTTTACGTTGTATTACGTTAC